ATTAAATTTTTAAATATTATAGTTGTGATTAAAATATTAAAGAATTATTATAATATTATTATAATAACTTAATATTAAGATGAAATATAATATAATATTAAATTCAATAATAATTAATTTTAAATATAAAATTATTAAAATTATTTAATCATAATATTATTAATTTAATTACATTATATAATATTAATATATAATTCGTTTACAATATACAATTACATTTATATGATTAAATAATATATAATTAGTTCATATATAATAATATTAAAACAAAAACAATCCAATGTCTACAATCTGCTTGTGATTCCAGGTTTATTCAGTTCCTTCTTTTTCCGATTCTTCATGATTCTCACCCTGTTGCGCTTTAATCTGTGGCAGAACGTTCTGGAGCAGCTCCAAAGACTTCTTGTGGTACTCGGCCTGAACCTCGATCAGCTGAACAGAGCGACAGAAAGATGTTAGCGATAAAAAGGCAGGCTGTTCATCTGAACGAGTAAAGCACTCACCGTCTGGAAGTAGTTTGCATAGTCAATTTCTTTGGCCATGAAACTATACATGTCCGCCGAGAGCTGATCCTGAAAAACATTGACATTAAACATGATGCTTCGATGTTGCATGTTTACAATATGCATTATGAATGCGGTGCAGTCTGTATGCATGAAATAACAGAGAGAGAGCGAAGCTCCACCCACTCTACAGATCTCCATGCGATTGGCCGCCTCCTCCATCTCCTCCCTGAGGGCGTCGGCTTTGGCCCCGGTAGGCGTGTCCTTATTAGTCAGAGTTGAGGATTTGGACGACTGGTGCCACCTAGAGGTTGAGAGGAGAGAACGGCGTAATAAAAACACATCTTCCTACTAAATCACCTACTAGATTTGACTAAATGTGCAGTATACAACCAATCACACTGCATGAGCTACTGTTTCCCACAATGCAATGCGTTTAACTTGACTGAACCAGCAGTAATGTCTCATCTGATCCGACTGCCAATGGTTAATACATTTAATTTGCAAGATTTGCAACTCAATGTAAGTTGCATGCACATTGTGCAGTTTCAAATCTTATAATTACATTTTGCATGTTGCACTTTATATTTAAAATGAACTGTAAACATATTATATGTTATTATATCTTTTCGAGGTGAAATATGAGCTAGAAATCACTAATTCTGTAGTAATTCTAAAGAGTTTTGCATAAAAACAGTGCAAGTCTATGGGTTTGTCCCGGTTTGGATAACTAGATAAGTGTGTGTGTTTCTCACCGTGTACGAGCAGAATCCATGTCCAGTACCAGTTTGGCTAAATGTTTTCTTTGCTTCTGAATGTTGGGAATTTCAACCTTTTGAGGAACCAGAAGAGAAATAAACAAAGAAACAAAAAACGTGTGTCAATTTGATTGCTTTTCTAAAACATTTACACATATGTTCATTAACGCATTATTTTGACTCAAGCATGGGCACAGGGTTTCCAAAACTGGGGTTCGTGGGTTGATGACGGGAAAAAAATTGAATTAAATAAAAAAAATTTTTTTAAAAAAGAATAAATTAATATTTTTCATTATAATGATAAAAAAAGTATTTATATATTTACATTTGATTTTATTATTTATTTTTTAAATAAATAAATAAATAATTGTTTATTTTTATAAAATAAACAAACAAGCAAATAAATAATTTTGCATGAATGTGTTGTTAACTGAAATATCTTAAAGTAAATATTTTAACTCAAAGTAGTTTAGCCTTTAATTATATCTTTGAAATACTGGATCAACCAATCAGCATCACAATCCAATCAGGACCACAGCTATCTGTTATTTACATTATTTCACTACATTATTGTGCATCAGAATTACAGTAGCAATATGCAATAAAGTTGGCCATAAAAAAAATGAAAATGAAATTTGATTGCTTTTCTAAAACATTTACACATATGTTCATTAACGCATTATTTTTTGTCTCAAGCATGGGCACAGGGTTTCCAAAACTGGGGTTCATGGGTTGATGAGGGGGAAAAAATTGAATTAAATAAATTAAATAATTTTTAAAAAATGAATAAATTAATATTTTTGATTATAATGATAAAAAAAATAATTTATATATTTACATTTAATTTTATTATTTATTTTTTAAATAAATATTTGTTTATTTTTATAAAATAAACAAACAAGCAAATAAATAATTTTAAAATAAAACACGAAGCAAATTAAAACACCAAAAATATGAAATATTTTATTTGTTTACCTGCATGAATGTGTTGTTAACTGAAATATCTTAAAGTAAATATTTTAGCTCAAAGTAGTTTAGCCTTTAATTTTATTTACATTATTTACATTATTTATTGTGCATCAGAATTACAGTAGCAATATGCAATAAAGTTGGCCATAAAAAAAATGAAAAAAATGAAAAT